CCCCTCAAGGTCCTGGAAACCTTGTTTCCAAAATACCTTAGAGACTTCTGCTACCACTAACCCCGTCCCAGCTTGAAGGTCACGCCTCACAACCCCAGTACAGCTCTTTCTGCCCCCAGATCCTGTCTCCGTGCTTTAATAAACCACCTTTTCGTACCGAAGGTGTCTCAAGAATTCTTTCTCGGCCATCGGCTCCGAACCCCAACATTTTCCACAGCATCAGGGGCTGAGAAATGGAGTTGGGGCTAGACAAAACCAGAAGTCTGTCTACTTGAGCCTGGGCCACCAGCGGTCACTTGACACTGAAAAGAGAGTGCAAAGCCTGGCTTCCTGACACAGAGCCGCACTCAAGGATCTGGTTAAGTCACTGCCATCTGCCCCAGAGAGAAACACGATCTTTATTTTCCAAGGCTATGACAGTTGTTTATAGACAGCCTCTCTGTGAGGTGACATTAAGCTAACATCTGAGTGACGAGAGCCTGGTAAGTGGAGATCAAATTGTAAGCATTCCAGGCGGAGAATGCCTGATGCAAAGGTCCTTGGCCGAAAATGAGCATGGCATGTTCCGGAACAGAGAGAAGCACTGAATGTGGGGCAAGAAGGCAGGGCAGGAATTAAGGATAATTCCCATGTTTTTAGTTTGAGCCAGGAGGTGGAGAGTGATGCATTTAATGAAACATGATCACCAGGGAAGAAGCCAATGTAAACAGGGAATCGGTTCTGTTGGGCCGTATTGAGTTTGACATGACTCCTAGATGTCTTTGTGAAGAAAGCAATTGGATTTCTTCTTGGATCCAGGTTCTGGGTAGAAATCAGGACAAGTAAGAGAGACTTGGGAGTACTTGGCATACGATTAACATTCATCGGGTGCTTCCAATGTCCCAAGCACTCGCTGAGCAATTTATGAATATTTCCTTAGTTATACTCTCACAATCCCTGTGGGGTTGGCCCTGTACTATTATCTTCATTTCAATGATGAGGGAACAGAAAATTTCCCCATGGTTGTTCAACCAGGAGTGGTAAAGCCAGAAGAAAATCCCAGGCAGGCTGACACCAGAGCCCAAGTTCATGACCGTCTGGCTGTGCTACCTGGGGCACAATGGCATTTAAAAGCCACGGGACCAGAGGCACCTGGGTGGCTCTGTCAGCTGAGCATCCGACTCTTAATTTCGGTTCAGGTCACGATCCCGGGGTCATGGGGATCGAGTCCCAGGTTGGGCTCCGTGCTCAGTGTGGAGCCTGCTTAAGATTCTCTCTCTCTCCCTCTGCTCTTCCCCCTGCTTGCTCTCTCTCTCTAAAATCTAAATAAATAAATAAATAAATAAATAAATAAATTTCCAAAAAAAATAAACAAGGCCACGGGACCAGATGAGGTTCCCCAGGGACGGCGTGTAGATAACAAGGACACAGAGAACAGCCACATCCAGTAATGTCTCTTTGGAGCTCCCAATTCCCTGTTTGCTTTTGTACTTATCAGACAAGATGCTAATTTTTCCATTTGATCCGTCGCCTCAAAAATGTGCCCATACAGATGACGAACCCCGCTTCCCAAACCAGATCCACTGGCTGTTATAAATGAACAGAGTATCATTCTCACCTGTAATCACTCTCTCGTATATAAGGCTGGTTTGATTCTATCCCCCAAACATTATTTCCCTTTAGTTAATTGATAAAAATGTAACGTCTGGACCCGCCACGACCTTCCGGGATGCCAACACTCTGTGGGAGCCTGCCAGAAGCACCCAGCAGGCTTTCCTGGGCCTCTCTTTACCTACAATATGTGCCATGCCAGGAATTCTGGAAAGCAGAGTTTCTTTGTGGCTTACTGAAGAATTCAAGGGGAAATAAAAGTCTGAACTGAAAATGCTTAACTCAGAATTTTCCTCAAACGATATATACTGTTTCAGCAACTATGCACAAGCTTTGGCAACTCAGAGACTCCCCTCGGGAAGAGCCATGGCCCTTGAGCAAGCACCAGGCATGGGCTGTGTGATCTAACCATCAGGGATTTCCACAAAGTTCCTCCTTTCTTTAGTACTGAATAATGGGTGTGTGTATCAGCGGGGCATGTTAGATGCTCCAACTCTTCCTCTCTCTCTCTCCTTTTATTTTATTCTTTAAAAAAAAATGTTTTTAATGTTTATTTATTTTTGAGGGGGGGAGGGGCAGAGAGAGAGGGAGACACAGAATCCGAAGCAGGCTCCAGGCTCTGAGCTGTCAGCACAGAGCCCGATGCGGGGCTCGAACTCATGAACCGTGAGATGGTGACCTGAGCTGCAGTCGGACGCTTAACCCACCGAGCCTCCCAGGCGCCCCTTTAGTTTACTCTTAGAACGAAGGATTCATTTGTAACTTTTATTTCGGTTGCCATATCTGTTTGTGAACAAAGACCACATCTGTATTCTTCCCTGCCATATACCTAGCACAGCTCATACCTAGCACAGCTCTGGGCACAGAGAAGGGCTCAACAAGTGTTTGTTGAATGACTAAACGAGGAAAGCACGGGACACAGATGAGGCAGCTCCGAACAACATCAGCCATAGATCATAATGATCTTGAAGCCTGTGTAGCGATCACAACGATTTTGACAAAGAAACTTGAGAAGGTATCTCTAGGGGCACCTGGGTGGCTCAGTGGGTTAAGCATCTGACTCTTGATTTCCACTCAAGTCATGGTCTCACGGTTCGTGAGTTTGAGCCCCACATCAGGCTCCAAGCTAATACCTCAGAGTCTGCCTGGGTTTCTCTTTCTCTCTCTGCCCCTCCCCTGCGCCCTCTCTCTCTCTCTTTCTCTCTCAAAATAAACAAATTAACTTTAAAAATAAATAACCATAGGGGCGCCTGGGTGGCTCAGTCAGTTAAGCATCCGACTTCAGCTCAGGTCACGATCTCATGGTTTGTGGGTTTGAGCCCCGCATCGGGCTTTGTGCTAACAGCTCAGAGCTTGGAGCCTGCTTCGGATTCTGTGTCTCCTTCTCTCTCTGCCCCTCCCCTGCTCATGCTATGTGTCTCTCTGACTCTCAAAAATGAATAAACATTAAAAAAATTTTTTTAATTGGGGCACCTGGGTGGCTCAGTCGGTTAAGCATCCGACTTTGGCTCAGGTCACGATCTTGCGGTCTGTGAGTTCAAGTCCCGCATCGGGCTCTGTGCTGACAGGTCAGAGCCTGGAGCTTGCTTTGGATTCTGTGTCTCCCTCTCTCTCTGCCCTTCCCCCGCTCATGCTCTGTCTCTCTCTCTCTCTCTCTCTGTCAAAAATAAATACACATTAAAGATTTTTTTAATTAAAAAAATAAAGTAAAATAAAAAATAAATAACCATAAGAGTAATAATTTTAAAAAGGTATTTCTAAATTATGGATACATATTTCATTCTGTACCTGTTGCAATTAAGATAAATACTGAAACACATTAAGGCATCTTATCTGAAATTCCACACTTGGTAAAACTGAATTTCTTCTGTTCTATTGATCATGTTGGCAAGAAATTTGTGGTCAGCGATAATTTATATTGGAAGCTGGTCCTTTAATTTCTAAGGCCTTTAATAATAAAATCTCACCAGCTTGGCTCTTTTTTTTTTTTAATTTTTTAAGTGTACTTATTTATTTTTGAGAGAGAGACACAGTGAGCAGGGGAGGGGCAGAGAGAGAGGGAACGAGAGAATCCCACGCAGGCCCCACACTGTCAGCACAGAGCCCGATGGGGGGCTTGAACTCACAAGCTGTGCGATCATGACCTGAGCCGAAACCAAGGGTCAGACGCTTAACCGACTGAGCCACCCAGGCACCCCTGCTTGGCTCTTTTTTAGGTCATTACGAATGTCTCATTGAATCAGTAAGCTTTTGCATAAATTCTACACATCAGGCCAACCTAGAAGAATCTGACAAATGATGTATCTTAGTGGTAAGTAAGGCAAGTTTGGGCCCCTCGAAATGTCACAGGAATACAAAAGCTTCTTTTGGGGTCTTGCCGCTCCGAGTAAGTTCTACAGAACAGTGACAGCGACAACTGTGCTGTGGACTGAATTGTGTCCTGCCCCAAACACCTACGTTGAAGCCTCTGTGATGGTTTTGGAGGCGGGACCTTCGGGAGGTGATCGGGTTTAGATGAGGCCATGAGATTGGTGTCCTCCTAAGAAGACGAGGAGACCAGAGCTCTCTCTCGCTGCCAAGTGAGGCTATAGTGAGGGGGCAGCTGTCTGCCAGCCAGGAAGAGAGTCCTTACCAGAACCCAATGGTGCCAGAATCTCCATCTGGGGCTTCCAGCCTTGAGAACTCCCAGAAGATACATTTCTGTTGTTTAAGCCACCCGGTCTACGGTCTTTTTTATTTTGACAGTAACCTGAGCATCGCAGACACCGGGGAGCTTGTGAGGAATGCTGACTCTCAGGCCGTATCCCAAGCCTGTTGCATCAGAATCAGAACCTGCCTCAAGACAGAATAAAAACCACCTGATCCTTCCAATCCCAGGAGACCGGTTCCCCGGTGTCAAACTCTTCAAGAGGCTCCCCAAAGTGCGGAACTGCCGACCGGTCCTTGAAAATGAAATCGTCGGGGTCAGCTTCCTGGGCAACGGGGCTTCATCTTTGGGGTCTGAGGCTGCACGTTAGGATGCGGGTCCACAGGCAGAAGACAAGACCTTCGACCGCTGGGCTGTTTTCCACTTTCTCGAAGTGTAACTGTCAAAGAACATTTTACACAGTTTAAGTGTACCGCGTTTGGCACACGTATGCTTTGTGAGACTATGTGACCACGGTCAGGGTAATTAACACATCTGTCACCTCCCATAGTCACCTTGTGTGTGATGCGCACGCGTGTGTGTGTGTGTGTGTGTGTGCGGTGAGAACACGGAAGGTCTACTCTCTCGGCAAATTCAATGGTACACAACACAGCGTCATTCACTATGGTCCCCACGCTCCCCGGCAGACCCCCGCGGCTCACTCATCTTGCAACAGAAAGCTTGTATCTCCAGCAATCCTTTCTTACTGCAGTAAAAACTATCTCAGCCAACGTCACCCTAAAATCACACATCCCTATGTCAAACAGAACAAACACCAACAGGAACTTGAAAGAAGTGAAAACAGCACCTAAGTGAAACCGCCTCTCTCTTGACACGTTCAAGCCCGTTCATGCAAATTTCCAGATGTAACGGCACCGATGGACCACCAGACTCTCCTTTTCTGGGGGTTTTATCAGTTCCAAGTTCCATGACTCCCTTTCGGGGGTCCGGGGGAAACAGCATACACTTTCACAAGTGCCTATACTGTTAACTTTCATTACTGGATCTCTGTCTACAACCAAGTAAGGTCATGCTCGGTTTGGGTTTGTTTTTTTAGCAGGCTTCATTCTTTTTGTTTCAGTTTTACTGAGCTCTAGTTGACAAATGGCCTATGGAAAAGTTTAACGTGCACAGCAGAATTACTAGACCTACGATATGCTGTGAAATGATGACCACAGTGAGTTTGGTTGACATCCATCATCATCTCATACAGATACAAGAAAAAGAAGAAAAGAGGAAGACAGAAAGAAAAATGGGGTTTTTTTTTCCCCTTGTGGTGAAAACTTTTAGAATCTCCTCCCTTAACAACTTTCAAATACATCATACGGCAGCGTTAATTATGGTCACCATGTTGTAATTATATCCTCGGGACTTATGTAACTTGCAACTGGAAGTTTTACCTTTTGACCAGACTTTATTTTTTTAGAGCAGTTGAAAGGTTCACAGTGTGAAATTTAATGAAGCGAAATCTCACTTACAGCAGACTCCGGGGGGCTAGAAGCAAGTTCTGGTAGGCTGAGTCCTACCATTCGATGTCAATTACAGGAAGAATGATCAATCACAGACCCTAACACAAGAATCTCACAGGAAAGAATCATCAATTACAGGCCCCAACTGGCCTTTCATCTCCTACAAGAAATCCACAACCCTTGCAACTCAGCCGATGAGAAACTGTCATTATCCTAAACCCTTGCTTCTCCAGAGGGGACTTTTGTTCAAAACAACCCCTCCCAACTTCCTCCTCCTTCTCCATAAAATAATGTTCCTATTCTTTGCTTCTCGGGACTTGCCTGTGGTTTTTGCCATAGCTTGCTTGTCCTGGGCTGCAATTCTCTGCTATTTTCAAATAGTCTCATCTTTTGCTGATAAAATACCTGGCAGGGTTTTTTTTAACGTTTATTTGTTTTTGAGGGAGAGAGAGATTGGGGGAGGGGCAGAGAAAGAGGGAGATAAGGAATCGGAAGCAGGCTCTGCAAGGTCAGCGCAGAGCCCGGTGCGGGGCTCGAACTCACAAACTGTGAGAGCATAACCTGAGCCGAAATCAAGAGCCACGCGCTTAACCGACTGAGCCACCCAGCGCCCCTCGGCTGTTTTATTTTTAAAGTTAACAACAACATTGAGCAGAAGGCACAGAGAGTTCCCAAATGCACGCCACCCCTAACACGTGTAGAGCCTCCTTGCACATCCACACCCCCCACCCGAGTGCTACATTCGTTACAAGTGATGAACCCACACGGGCACATCGTCATTACCCAAAGTCCACAGTTGACATCAGGTTTTACTCTTGATGTTGTACATTCTATGGGTCTGGTCACGTTCAGAATGACATGTACCCACAGCCATCGCGTCACACAGAGCGATTGCACTGCCTGTAATTCCTGAAAGTCTGCACTTTCCCTTTGAATCACATTATCTGTCCTGGGCGAAGCCAGCAGATTGGGCTAACTGTGCCCACAAGGCAAGCAGAGAGGACAGGACACAACTGAAGATCTAATTCTCCTTTGTTCAACCAAAGTTGTCCTCGTGACAGGATTACCAGCGGGTGCAGACGGCTCTTTTCCAGTCACCACTGAAAAACACACATCAAACAGCTCACCGATCACGCTCACCTCTGTCCCCAAGTGTTGGCTTCAGCGTGTCCCTTGCCCAGGGGTACTTACCGCCTGTAGGTAAGCTTGCTTCCCTGGGTTGCCAACAGCAAAGTACTAAAATGTCTGCAGTTTTGCTGGCCAAAGTCCTTGGCACTGGAGGAAGGGACAATGTTTTATCTCTCCGACTTTTCCGCACATCCTTCAGTTTGGCAATTATTGTTAGGAGTTCTTAGGATTTAATGTCTACCCTGCCCTTGGTAATGAGGGATACACGCCATTCGCAGCCTACAGAGAAACTGGAAAGCTGGCGCAGTGATAACTGTTCCCCAAGATCTTTCTACGATGGACACGATCTCCTAATACCTCCCTAGAACCTTCCGCGACCGCTTGTCCACTAACGCCGCAATGGTTTTCTGAGGGCGGACCTCCTCCCGCCCCGTCCTTTCCGACACTTGGAAGAGTATTTTCCATCCCGTGCTTAAACTAGCACATAAAAAGCCAATGACTGTTTTAACCCTCTCTTTCTCATGGAGAAGCCATCAAGCTGGCCTGAACAAAAAAAGGAGTAAGGATTTGCTAAGGAACTAGATCTAATGATGCCCGTCTCCGCTCCCAGTGCCCCAGCCCCGGGTTTCCCCTTTAGTCTCATTTCAGAGGCAAAAGCTGGAAAATCACGTCTGGGCAGGAATGGCCGGGAGAAGTGCGGCATTATCCCGACAGCACACGAGCCAAGTCCCTGTCCTCAGTGATATGTGCAATACTTCCACGGAAAATACCTCCTCTCGGCCAACAGCTCCAAATGTCCTTTGTTCCGTGACAGATGGTCGGGGTTATCGCTTCTGCTTTCACCAACCCTCAAGAGAAAATATGATCCCATAGATCAAGTATTGAGACCGGGTCTTAAATCTACCGGTTCCTGGGTCCGGTGTTGGTGGCGGAGGCCCGTGAGGTTAAACGCAGACGCCTCGAGGGCTCACAAAGGTTGGGTCAGCGAAGGCAGGCACACATCCACGGTCTCTACCAACCAACGTGCTTCAGTGCCAGGCTGGGGGCATCACCCGCCACCGAATGAAGACTCGCTAAACCAAAAGGCATTTATTGTGTTTGGCCGCGAAGAGAAAGGATAATCTCCGAAACACGCGAGGGTAGAAGTTTGGTCACAAGAAATCACAAAGTTGGCCTCAAGATGAATTGAAACAAGTAAGTGAAACTCTTAAGTCAGGTTACCAGAAGGACAGTCATGAGAGCAGGGGATATGCCACTTCAAGGGAAACGTGTTTATTCATTTTTCTCATGAAAAAGACTTGCGTACAATTTTAAAGGGAGAAAAAGGGAACGACGCCCTTTATATGCCCCCATGGTACTGTTAGTTTCTGAAGCTCATTACTCATTAATTTTCTTTTTATTGAGCGCCAACTGTATGCGAGGAATGGTGCAGATGTCAGGAATACTTCGGTGAACGAAACAGATAAAGCCCCTCCGCTCAAGGAGATTGTGTTATGGGCTCCTGATTCTTAAATTCCTTACGTTTCCTAGCGGGAGGCTCCCGAACTTCTTGGAGGCCAGCAGGGCCTGTGTGTGCTCTGCTGTGGACACAGCACACAGCCTTGCATCGGGTTATTTGGTCTGGCGCCTCCTGGAGACTTGGCTCTTCCTCCAGGACACGGTTTCTTGTCCTTGCGTCCTCAGCGCGGCAAAATATGGGCCGGGGAGAGGAAGACTAAATCCAGGAAATGAGCCAACTCCACACGGAGAAGTTGACATTCCCTTGCTTGTTTGTTTTTGACCTCAGAAGGCCACTCGTGTGCTAAGCCTGGTGCCCAGAGTCCCAGAGGAGCGTGGGTCTGGGCAGAGCGGGAAGAAGGGTCCAGATCACCAACGATGACTTTGGGCTTAACTACAAGCCCACTGCCGACGGAACGTTTTCACTGTAAATAAAGGACTATTGCTAGAATGCTCTTTTTTTGCGCAGTGCCTGAAAGACTAGAGAGAGCATGGTAGAAATAAGAAGATACTGAAAAAGAAGAGAGAGACTTGGGGCGCCTGGGTGGTTCAGTCGGACGAGCGTCCGACTTCGGCTCAGGTCAGGATCTCGCGGTCTGTGAGTTCGAGCCCCGCATTCGGCTCAGTGCTGCCAGCTCAGAGCCTGGAACCTGCTTCGGATTCTGTGTCTCCCTCTCTCTCTGCCCCTCCCCGGCTCGTGCTCTGTCTCTTTCTCTCTCTGTCAAAAATAAACATTAAAAAAAAAAAAAAAAGACAGAGACTTCAGAATTTTCCTCAATGAAAAGTGACGAGTTATCACTGTTGACTGAAACCAACTACTGCCTGAAATTCCTATGGATCCGCCCAAAAAGTAAGCTTTCCTTCCTCCTTATCCTGACAACCACCCCAGGGAACAGCCGGGTCTTCACTTACTAGGTTTCTCTCTTCTCAGAATCTGGGTTCAGAATAGGTAGTTTCCAGTCTCACACACACATCCGAGGGGCCGGAGAGTAACGATGGGCTCACACCGCCCCCTGCTGGCCGCTCTCCCCCTAACAAGGAGCGGATCCTTGCCTGCTTTGCTTCCCACCCCAGTAAAAAAAGAAAAACAACACAATGCCCCCACAAAAGTCAAATGTCTTTATTTTATATAAAAAAAATTTGTACAGTTTTAGTTCCTATGTTTAAGAAAAAAAAATCCCTAAAATTGCCATAATGTTTAGATCCACTGCAAACTGTAAAAACAAGCTTTTTATATATTAAAAAAAAATTTACATTTTACAATTTTCTACATGCATGCACAAGGTCTCTGTAACCCAAAAAGAAAAAAAAAAAAAAAGGAAAAAGAAAAAGAAAAAGAAAGAGGAGGAAAAAAAAAAAAAAAACCTAGATTCAACAGTGGCAAATTCTACATTTACAATCTCACTCGGAAGGGACCCAAAAAAGCCCCTTTCCGTTCGCGCACAGAAGAACAGATCTCACAACAATCACACGCCAGGACCGAATCCATCAGCAGATGCTGCCCTGGGGGGGGAAGGGCAGGGGAAAGAGCAGACAGACAGACGGACAGACAGCACGGAGGGGCCCAACAGAGGAGGAGAGGAGCACAGACTCTGGGAACGGATGTTTCCGATGAGAAGGTTCTGGGGGGGGGGTCCCGATGCCTCTTCACAGGTACCGTAGCGGGGTGTGCAGCAGGAACAGTGAAGAATGAAAGGCTCAGGTGGAGAGGGATGGGAAGAAAACACGAGAAAGTAAAAGGAAATAAAAATAACCAGAGCGTGAAGGGTCGCTGGAGAGACAGGGAGCAGTGGGGGGCCGAGGCAGAGTGGCGAGGTAGGTGAAGGCCGGAGGCACAGCGTCCTGGTGTGGAGGGAGGAACGAGAAGGTTCCAAGGTGATGAAGAGGCAGGCCTGGTGGAGGCAGTCGGATGAGCTAGGATGCCCTGGAGTTCCGGTGTTCTGGGGGAGCAGTGGCGGGGTGCACAGGTAAGTTCACCCCCCCCCAGGAAGAAAGTAAGAAAACCCAGCACGTGATGGGACAGGCAAAGCGGGGGACAGGGCTCAGAGGCGCCCCACATCAGTTCACAGCATGAAGACAGCTCCCCACGTAGGGGAAGCAAAAGACACACACAGCCACACACTGGACAATTCATCCTGACGTTTTAAAAAATAATAATTATTATAACAATCATCGAAGAAGACAAAATACCACAGTTCTGCCGCAAAGGACCCAAACACTACCGTTCTCAGCCACAGCCCTTAGTGCTTAGAGAGGTGGGGGGGGGGGGGGGGGGAATTTTTCTTGTTTTAGGAAAAAGGAATGAAAAAAATCACAGTGATTAAACACATGGCAGGTTCTTAAAATAAACACTCCCCCGCCTCTAACCTAGGGCAGCCACAAAGATCCCAAACCCTTTCCCTGGGCCCGCCCCAACTCGGTCCTTACGTCCCGACACACCCCACGCCTGCCCACAAAGGCAGCGACCCCAATCACCATCCGGGCCCCGTTTTCCAGGATAGTGAGGTATTTAGAAATGTGACCCAGAGGGACTCCTCTTAAGCCCAGGTCCTTGGAGAGAAGACACCTTCCCACGACCTCCAGGACAGGATGTATTTCCCTCAGGCAGTGCCTGAGTCGGCCCCACAACCCACATCTGTGGGGACCGGGTTAAGCGTGAACTGAAGAGCCCTTCTCTAGTAAGCGGCGGACGGACAGACGTGCTTTTTCAGAGAGGACAGGGGAGACACGTGATCACTAGGCTGCATCACGTCGGGGCCGCCCTGCCCACCCTGGAAGCCTCCCTGGTCAGAGACCGGTGGGGATCTTAGCCCGAGGGGGTGTTCCGCGTGGCAGGCTGGCCAGGAGAAGACGGGCCTGAAAGTTATTCCGAGGCCTGGCCCAGGGCGGCTCCAGCCCAGCCACCAGAATGGTCCTCCGCGTGGACCCAGGCTGGAGGTATACCGGTGTTCCCGCTTCCGGTCCTCTTGGCTAAAACTACGTAATTTAAAGGTGTCTGAGTTAAAGGCTCAGATTCACACTGAAAATAGGTCTCAGAAAGCCAGCGGATTTGGCTCAAAACGAGACCTGAACTCGCGAGAAATCAGATCGGGTGGAAAGACTACGGAAGCTCACCGGGGTGAGGGGGGGCCGATGCCCACGAAGGCAGCAATCCTGGGCCCTCACCCCAGTACTGAGGGAGACAAGAGCCCAGAGAACCAGGCAGGGAGAGGAGGGGACCCTGGCCAGCCAAGGAAAGGAGACCCCTGAGGCAAAGAAGTGGGCTTAAGGCAGGGGACGAGGAGGAGTTACTGGCTCCCCCCCCCCAAAGAGAGACAACACAACAGGCCCCTGGCGCCGAGAAGAGACACTCTGGGGCGGGGGAAGGAAAGCAAAACGTCGGTCGAAGACCGCGGGGGTCGGGTCATGGTCTGCAAGCCACTCAATCTGTGCAGCAGTCGACTCGTCATCTTTCACCGGGAAGGGGGACCTGCCCCAGCCAGGCGGGAGCGAAGGTGCAGGCAGGTTCAGAGGGCAGGGGTCAGCCATGTTCCCCGGGGTCCCTCCTGTCCTTCCCTCGGAGGCTGCCTAGGAAAGACCCAAAGGATGGGTACAGTCCCCCATGGCCCAGGGAAAGTGGTCACAGAGGGTTTCGGCCTCAGTCTGGCTGTGGCCACGGGAGGCAGAAGGTGGAGACTTTAGGGTAAAGACTTTAGGGACCGTCCCTCGCTCTGAATACGTGTGGATGTGAGGGGGAGGTTCTGACAGCCGGAGCCAGCGACCCTGGCAGGGAGACCCCTGACTCGGGCTAGCTGGGGGGGGGGGGGGTGCGAGAGCACCCTGCCCCACAAACTCGGCGTCTGTGACGGGCCAGCTGGGCGGGCAGGAGCAGCGGATGACCCACCGTCTGGAGGAGTTTGGCACGGTGGCTCTGTGTTGTCCTGTCTGTCCCCTGGCGACACCCTGTCGGGGCCACAGGAGAGAACTGCACAAGAGCCTGGTTTGGGGGTGGGGCTCCGGGGGACCCCATGCCCTCCCAGAAGAGAATGCCATCCGGAGGCAGAGGGGGGACAGGCACGGATTCCTGCACGATGACACCAAGTAAGGGCTGGCGGGGGAGGGGAGAGAGAGAGAGAGGATCCCAGGCACTGCTGACGCAGGTGGCCTCTCCAGGCTCACGGGGGGGGGGGCGACTAAGGAGGAGGGGGGAGCGGTCGGGCGGCGGGCGAGTGGGGGGAGTCAATTCAAGTAAAAGGGAGCGGGAGGAGGCAGGGCGGCAGGAGGTGAGAGCCAAGCTCTCCCCGACCCGCGGGAGCCCTGGCGTCACCCCTGCCGCTGCTCAGTCACACCGACGTCTCAGACTGCAGCCTCATGACAAACTTGTGCGACTTGGGATCCACAAACTCCTCGGAGAGTTTGAAGAACGGGACCTTCTTGGTGCTCACCACCAGGCTGAAGTCGTGGCGCTTCAAGAGGAAGACGATGCCGTCCTTGAGCCCGCTGGTCACAGGCTCCTCGCTCACCAGTGTCCACTGTTTGGCCAGCCAGCGCTCCTTGTGGTACTGGATGGTGGGTCCGGCCGCCAGGTACCGCTCCAGGAAGGCCTGAGGAGGGGCGGGGGGCTGCGTGGTCACCTCTCCCCCCCCCCCTCCCCCCCCCCCCCCACCCTCGACGTTCCCCGGCTCGCTCTGCTTCCACGCGCTCTAGAACGTTCGAGCGGAAAGGCGCTGAGCTCATCTGCTCTGGACCCTGGTTCTAAGCACAGGGCAGCGGGAGCCCACAGAGGTGACGGGGACACCGCAGGGTCAGGACCGGCGTCCCCGCGCTTTCCCTGCACGGGGCTAGGACCGTGAGGCCTCCTCATTCTTCCTGCCCCTGCATCCAGCTCTCGTGGGCGCAGTCACCCTGTTCACCAAGGGTGGCTGGGGACGCCACTCTAGGAGGCTGACGATAAAGCCGAGGGAGGGTCATGCTCGAAAAGAGCACAGAGCAAAGAATGCCTGCTGGAGGTCGCGGGGTGTGAAGGGGGGACGTCGGGTGCTGCCACCTCGGACACGGGAATCAGGCCACAGCCACTCCCAGGAGAAACTGTCCCTTCTCCTCACCAGCTGGGAACGAGGCGGGAGGGGCAGGGCCAGGGGTAAGAGAAGAGACCTGGGGGGGTGGGGGCTGGGAGGGTGGCAGGGATGTGGTGAGAGCACAGGGGCGAGGCAGGCTGCTGTGGGGGGGGGGGGGGGGGCCCGGGGGGGGGGGGGGGCGGGCCGGAGGACGGTGGGGGGCCTACCTTGGGTGTCATGTCGTGCGTGATGCAGAACTCCAGGTGCTGGAGGATGCTCTCCATGCTGTGGTACGGCTGCTGCTTGGTGGTCCGTAGATACTTCTGCATGGCACGGGCCATGGAGGCGAAGATGGCCTGGGCGGCCTCCCGGGGATCCATCACCTCCCTGGGGTTCTTCTGCTCCTCCTCCTGCAGCCGCTTAATGTGAGTGAAGGCCTCCTCCACCGCCACCACAAGCCTGGGGGACAGGGGGAGCCTGGACCAACCGCCCCTCTCCCTCCCTCAGCCCCCACCCCCTGCTCCAGCCGCCTGGGCGAGGCTGTGCCTCTCCCCGCCACCAGAAGCCCCACAAACCCACCTGGAGCCAAGGGCTGGGCTCAGGGGGGCCGTGTGCGTGTCTGCGTGGGTGGGGGCGCATGTGCACGGATGCGGGGCGGGGGGGGGGCAGGAAACAGCTGTAGAGCTCAGCGAGCCCAGCGTGGGGACCCCAGCGTCCAACCCAGACACAGCCAGGGACCGTACTCTGGCACAGAGTGGCACATGCCTTCCTGATGCCTTCCTCCACGAGACCCCCAAGTCACCCTTCCCTGGGGGGCCAAACCAGCAGACACAACTACATCCAGAGAACAGCCTTCTACTCAAGCACGGGCAACGTCAACATCTGTCTGGGGGGCGGGCACACAAGCAACATGACATCAAGATGCCAGAGGTGAACACACAGGGCCCCAGAGACCGGGACACCTGCTGGGCATCGGACAACTCACATGTTCAGACAGTACTACTCAGCCGTCAAAACAGGATAAAAAAAGGAAGGCCTATAACCCAGATGCCGGTTAGGGGCAGGGAGTCATCTGTGAACCACTAGGCAGCGACACGAGGGACACAGAGACAACGTGGGTGAGTCTCGAGGAGGGCGTTAAGGGGGAAGCACGAAAAAGAAGTCAATTTTCGTTAAAAGCACACAACGTCCGGAAAGCCAGGACCCCAGGAACTTCAAGGAGCGGGGAGGGGGGTACTCGGGACTAAGTAAACACGTGGAACATGTCCCGCTTCGGCCTCTCTGGTTATTCACGCGCTTGCTCCGAGGGTCTCTCAGTAAAGCTCCTTTTGAAAACCAAGGGAGAAGTCTTTTACTGGTTACAACCAAGGTAACAGGGCAGGGAGACATCGGCCACGGGCCAAGGACCGCATTGGCAACACAGGAGATCCAAAACCCTGGTTGGGGCAAAAGGTGAAGGGGGGGGGGGGGATACCACCTCTGGGTTCCTTCCCACCAGGACCATTTCTGAGACAGCTGGAGACATGCCGAATGGCAGACAAATGGGGTTGCTGATCTCCCATCGACGGCAGGGACACCAGCCTCATGTCAGAACAGGTAAGGGAAAACTTCCTCCCTTGAAGCCTGGAGACCGTGTGGGAGGAGGGGCCAAGGGTCAAATCCTGGGGCCCTCTGCTATTTGAGGCTCCCTGGAAATCCCACCAGACCACAGTGGGACCTGGCAGCAGCGAAGACCCTTCAGGTATGACAAGTTTACATTACAGCGTGAACAGGAAAAAGAGAGGACAGTACTTAAGAACGTACCAAGATACGGGACCCTGCGTGGCTCAGTCAGTTAAGCGTCTGACTCTTGGTTTTGGCTCAGCTCATGATCTCATGGATCGCGGGTTCGAGCCCCAAGTCAGACTCTGTGCTAGCAGTGAGGAGCCTGCTTGGGATTCTCCCTCTCCCTCTCTCTGCCCCTCCCCTGCTTGCTCTCACTCTCTCTCTCTCTCAAAATAAACAAAGTTAAAAAAGATGTACCAAGATCTGTACTAGAACCTCATCTGTTGCAGGTAAAAAGGCACCAATAGCCGAGCAGGCTTATGAGATCCACAGGGAGGAGGTCCGATCCAGCCTCCGTCCGTGCTGCTGCAGGCAAGGCTCACCTCGTTTACTGGGCCCCTGCTCCCCTGTGGCAGGGAGAATTCACAGATGGCCCGTTCGTTCACCCTACCAGATTCCCACCGTCCTGGCTACTCTCTCTGCTGTCTCCGTACATTCTGCAGACGTAATAATTAAAGTGTCGAGTCGGGGGGCGCCTGGGTGGCGCAGTCGGTTAAGCGGCCGACTTCAGCCAGGTCACGATCTCGCGGTCCGCGAGTTCGAGCCCCGCGTCAGGCTCTGGGCGGATGGCTCAGAGCCTGGAGCCTGTTTCCGATTCTGTGTCTCCCTCTCTCTCTGCCCCTCCCCCGTTCATGCTCTGTCTCTCTCTGTCCCCCCCAAAAAATAAATAAATAAACGTTAAAAAAAAAAAAAAGTGTCGAGTCGGTTGTCCTGGTCGTTATAAACAAGGAGATGACCCTGGCCAGCCCGCTCTCACTGCATGAGACCCTTCAAAGCACAGTGTTCTCCAGGCGGTACAGAACTCGGAGAGACCTGCTGTGGCTGGAAAAAGCAAACCGCAGCACCGCGGCTGCCGCTGAGGCCAGACGACAAGGAACTGATTCCACCGTGACCGGGGAGCTTGGAAGAGGACCCCGGCTCAGATGGGAGTCGTCTTGATTTCAGCCTGTGACACTGAGTGCGGGGCCCAGCTAAGCCATGCCTGATGGCGGTGTCTGACCCCCGCGACCGTGAGCTGAGAAGCGTGTGCTGTTGGACAGCGCCCAGCTTATGGGAACTTGTTAGGAACCCAGCGCACCCAATCACGATTGCTCACAGGTTCCCCGCAGCCACAGAACGCCCTGGCCTTGCTCTGCCGGGCCTGTTCACACCCAGCAGGCCCCGGGGCAGCCTGTCCTGGCCCAGGGACCCACCTGGCCCTCCGCTTGCGCACCCTCCGCTCGTGCTCCGCCTCCTCGTAGTAGTATTCATTGTGACTGTTGTCCCGCCGCCGGGCGGCCGCGGCGATCACAGCCCGGGACTGCCCTGTGGAGTTGTTGGTGCTGTTTTCTGCACGGGAGCGGGAGAGACAGGGATGGTCGCGTCACAGGACGCTCGCTCCCCAGCCCGGGAAGTCAGGGCGCAGCCACCTGACCGGTCCAGAGGCTGTGCCCACCCGCTGCGATGCCTCCCGTTCCCGACCCTCCTGGCCACGACTGGGAGAGGCCCCCCCCCCCGGAAAGCGACAGAGAGGGCCCTGGAGGGCACGGGTCCTGCACACGTGCCTCCTGGTGCCGGAGGACCTGGAGGTCAGAGAGCTGAGGGCTCGGGGCCAGGGCTGGTGAGCAGACGCAGAGAAGTCAGATTGGGGGGACACACCACGGCATAAAGGGACAGCAAGTAGAATCAGCAGCTAACACCAGCCACCTGGAGCCAAGGGAAATGACAGAACAAAGGGGCTGGGGAAGCGGGGAAGAGTCTGAGAAGGAAACAGGGAGCAGACGGGAGGGCAGGGGAGCAGGGCCGCTCACCCTCTCCGAGGGAATACACCTTGAAGCCAGACACTTTCTTGGCCAGGACGGACTTGGGCAGGTTGAGGAGGGCAGGGTTGTAGACGGGGAAGTCATGGTAATACTTCTCCAGGATCCACACGGCCACACGCTGGATGCTGTGGGGGAGAGGGCGGGGGGAGGGAGAAGGGACAGACAAGGGGTGCCGGGGGGGGGGGAGACATCAGGGCAGGTTGGCGGGGTGGGAAAGGACACAGGACAGGGACAGGCTGCTTCCAGGAAGCCTGGCTCAGGGCCTGAGGTCTACTTACCAGGCTCCCAAGCCTTCCCCAGGGCTGGGCCCGCTAGTCCCCTGCGGTGCTGAAGCCCAGGGGAGAGAGGGCATTGGGCCTGGGTCTCCAGCAAAGGGTCACCTCACCCCCTCCAAGTCCCCCAAGATTCCCTACGGGACCAGGAAGTGCCCCTGATATTCTGTAAGGCCTGGGGCAGGGTGGGGGCGGGCAGAGGAACTCTCACAGCACCTTTCCTCCGGGGGTCCCTCCTCTGGCCAGCTCCTCTCGGTGACCACCCACTCAAGAGCTCACAGAGGCGGCGCCTCCAGGGAAGGCTCGAAAAGCGCTCCCCCAAGCCCCGTCCGTGCCCCACGCCTTTCTGCCCCTCGGTCCAGCCCTCTGTGAGGTCCCTGATGACCAAACGTTCGTCTGTTGTCCCCCCACTCCCGACTCCCAGCCCATCCCGCCCCAGGACCCTGTTGGAAACCTACCGCAGGCAGAGCCCTCGGCCCGCCGGCCGGCCCCACCTCCCCATCTGCTCCCCCCTCGGCCTCCCCCCACCCCCGGCCCCTCGCCGCACCTGAGGTGGCCCACGTTGTAGAAGCGGCTGGCGCCGTCGGTGGAGCGCACGACCTTGAGCGTGAACTGGGGCTGCAGCTGGCGCAGCTCCAGCAGGACCACCGCCAGGTAGTGCACGAAGAGCAGGGCGTCCACCAGCGACACGGCGAACTGCACCACGCCCTGGTAGCTGCGCTCGCGGGCGTCCAGGATGCGCACCCCGTAGAAGAGCCAGTAGGAGACGACGAGCAGGAAGACCAGCACCATGAGCAGCGCGCGCAGCACGAACACGCGCGGCAGCGAGGCCTTGGGCCGGCGGAGGAAGAGCGCCCAGCTGCCCAGCAGCAGGATCAGCAGCTTGAAGGCCACGGAGATGAAGAGGCCCTCGCAGGCCGTCCCGCACGGCTCCAGCTCCTCCCGCCACAGCAGCGGGGGCAGCAGCAGGAAAGCCAGCGGCGTGAGGAAAGAGAGCAGCGCCAGCGTGGCCCCCGCCGCCACGCCCAGGTGCCGGGAGCAGTCGAGCGGGACGCTGTCCTCCATGTCCTTGGCGATGCGCGTGAGGTCATCGTGGGAGATGCTGTGCTCTGAGGTGCCCGTCACTACGGTGGTCGTCTCCCCCCAGTTGTCATCCTACGGCAGGACGAGGGGGGAGGAGGAGGAGAAGCAGGAAGGGAGGGGAGAGGGGAGAGGAGAGGGGGTGGGGGAGGGGAGGGGAAGAGAAGCGGGAGGGGAGAGGTGGGGGAAGGGAGGGGGAGGAGGAAGGGAGAAGGGGGAGGGGAGGGGAAGCAGGAAGGGAGG